TGCTGACAGCTCAGAGCCTGTAGCCGGCATGGGATTCTGTGTCTCCCTCTCTCTCTGCCCCTCCCCCGTTCACACTGTATCTCTCAAAAATGAATAAATGTTAAAAAATAAAAATAAAAATAAAAGCAGGGTTTCCCCTTACCCTCTCCCTCTTAGTCTTCTGACCAGAACAAGAGAGTTTCTCTTGGAGCTCTTTCTTCCTGTGCCCGCTGTGCAGTTCTGGGATCCAGGATGTTCTGAGTGTGAACTGGAGACTTGGGATGATGAAAAACCAAAGAAAACCATAAACTCACTGCCATATATTTCCCTGAGTTTTTTTTTTTTTAATTTTTTAATGTTTATTATTTTTGAGAGAAAGAGACAGAGCACAAGCAGGGGAGGGGCAGAGAGAGGGAGACACAGAATCCGAAGCAGGCTCCAGGCTCAGAGCTGTCAGCACAGAGCCCCATATGGGGCTTAAACTCACAAAATGGGAGATATGACCTGAGCAAAAGTCGGACGCTTAACCAACTGAGCCACCCAGGTGCCCCTATTTCCCTGAGTTTTGATTTCTCTCTCCAGTCTGTTATTACCTACTTTGCAGTCCTCTATTAGTTGCTTTGTGGACTCTGTCCAAGGTTTTAGTTGTAATGGGTGGAAGACGTGGGGTGGGGTATTATTTATTCCACCGTAACCAGTGCTGGGACTCCTACCTTGATACTTTGAATCCCACAAACTAGGCATTGCTGGTATTGTTTGTCAGGCTCAATTTGTTTTGATTTATCTACATGCTTCTTTCTTCTCCGCATCCCCTTTTGTATCTCAGAATTTACTTCTTTCTGTTACTTTTGACTGAAAATGTATTTTTCCAGTGTTCTTAAAAATAATTTATCCTAGGAGTGCCTAAGTGGCTCAGTCATTTGAGCAACTGACTTCGACTCAGGTCATGATGTCACGGTTCATGTGTTCGACCCCACATTGAGCTCTCTGCTGTCAGTGCAGAGCCTGCTTCAGATCCTCTGTCCCCCTCTCTCTGCCCCTCCCCTGCTCTCTCTCTCTCAAAAATAAGCGTTAAAAAAATAATTTATCCTAGTGTATAATTCTAGGTGGATACTACTTTTTCTTCACAATTCAAAGATAACATTGCACTACCTTTTGGGTTCCATTGAGAAGTTAGCTGTATACTTGTGGCCATGCTATAGATATTGTGTTTTGTGGCTTTTTAAAATCATTTTGTCTATTAACATCCTCTCTTTGTTTTTGGCATTTTGTAGTTTTACTGGAATGTTTCTGGTTATGGACTTTTTTATATTTATTATTCTTGGAATTTATTGGGCTTCCTGAATCAATACTGGAAACGTTTTAACCATTATCTCTTCAAAGAGACAATGCTTACTTCCCAGTTTTTCAGTCTCTGTTTCTGAAATTAATATTATTAGATGCAGCCAACTTTCTTACTCTGTCTTTTATGTTTGATTTTTTTTCTTCATATTTTTCATGTCTGTATTTCCATGCTGCATTTTGACAATATCTCTGGATCTGTCTCAAGCCTGTCCAGTAATTTTATCTCTAGCTGTATCTAATTTGCTGTTTAATTTATCCACTTACTTTTTAAATTTGTATATATATATATATATTTTTTTTTTTTTTTGAGAGAGAGACAGAGCATGAGTGGGGGAGGGGCAGAGAGAGAGGGAGCTGTCAGCACAGAGCCTGATGTGGAGCTCGAACCCACAAACTGCGAGACCATGACCTGAGCTGAAGTCGGATGCTTAAATGACTGAGCCACCCAGGCACCCCTAATTTTTATATGTTATATTTCTAGAGTTTCTTTTCTTTTTTTTTTTTATGTTTATTTATTTCTGAGACAGAGAGAGAGAGAGAGAGAGAGAGCATGCACATGCATGAGCAAGATTGGGGGAGGGGCAGAGGGAGAGAGAGTCTTTAAGCTCAGCATGGAGCCTGATGGGGGGCATGATCCCATGAACCTGGGACCATGACCTGAGCTGAAATCAAGAGTTGGCCACTTAACTGACAGCCCCCGGGGCGCCTCTATTTCTAGAGTTTCTATTTGTGTTTTCCCCCCCAAAATTTACCTGGTTGCTTTTGCATTTTCTTGTTTCATCATGTTTCCAATATCTTCTTTTCTTCCTTTAGATAATTTATTTTATGATTTGTCAGATAATTCTAATATCAGCAGTCTTTGATGGCCTGATTCTACAGTTAATTGTTTCCAAAAAGATCTTACATATGTTTTGTTAGATTTATTCATTTTATTCCTATTACCTCATTGTTTGCTGTTTTAGATAATTGTATCTTTTTAAACTAAATCTGGTCTATGGAGGTATAATTTACCTACAATATTTTTCCTTTTCAGGTATTGTAGTTCAGTGAGGTTTTTAAAGGTATAAGGTCATGCAGTTGCCATCAAAATAGAGAATTTTTCCATTACCCCAAGAACTCCTTCATGCCCCTTTGTAATCAATCCTCTCTCCCCGGCTCTAGTCCCTGGCAGTCACTGCTCTGAATTCTGTCCCTATAATTTTACCTTTTCTAGAATGTTGTGTTCATCTTAAAAATAAAACTGCTGGTTATTTCACCAGCAAAAATGGGTTTGTTCAGGAACAGCAGAGGATTACAATATGGAACAAACCAGCTATGGCAAAATCAGAGGCATGTCTGCCACATAAAGGAGAGAAAAGTTTTGTTTTTTGTTTTTTTTTCAACATTTATTTATTTTTGGGACAGAGAGAGACAGAGCATGAACGGGGGAGGGGCAGAGAGAGAGGGAGACACAGAATCGGAAACAGGCTCCAGGCTCTGAGCCATCAGCCCAGAGCCCGACGCGGGGCTCGAACTCACGGACCGCGAGATCGTGACCTGGCTGAAGTCGGACGCTTAACCGACTGCGCCACCCAGGCGCCCCTTTTGTTTTTTTTTTAATATAATTTATTGTCAAGTTGGCTAACATAGAGTGTGTACAGTGTGCTCTTGGTTTTGGGGTAGATTCCCATGATTCATCGCTTACATACAATACCCAGTCTTCATACCAACAAGTGCCCTCCTCAATGCCCATCACCCATTTTCCCCCCTCCCGCCTGCCTCCCAAAGAGAAATGTATTTTAACAGAAGAAAGGGGGAAGGTGGGAAGTCTGTTATAAGCAAGTCCATTGGACTCACCTGGGGAAGTTCAACTACAGTGGCTTCTCATTGGCTGAGTATGTCTCTCATTGGCTGGGCTGTTGTGGGGGTGGGGGTGGGGGATGAAAACCTTTCTTCCTCTTGTTAGGGTAATAAAGTAGTATCCACCTGAAAGGCTCAGTTCTTTCTGTTGCATTTGCAATTGATGACTACTAGCAAAGCTTGAGAACCCATCTTCCTAACCTCCCGGCTTGGTTTTAGTGAAATTTCCTTTATTAATTTTCCACAGTCATATAAATGGAAGCATAGCCTTTTGGGTTTGGCTTCTTTCACTTAGCAAAGTAATTCTGAGATTTATTCACATTATTATGTGTATTGGTAGTTGATTCCTTTTTACTACTGGTAATATTGCATTGTATGGATGTCTCACTACTCATATATCCAGTCACCAGTTGATCAGGTGATGGACAATTGTTTTTTTCCCCACAGTTTTGGGTGATTATGAATAAAACTGCTATGAACATTAGCATACAGATTTGTGTGACAACATGTTTTCCTTTCTGTGGGGTAGATACCTAGAAGTGGGAGGTTTGATCATATGGTTCATACGTATTTATATTTAGAAGAATCTGCCAAAATATTTTTCTTTTAGTTCTTAATGTTTATTTACTTTTGAGAGAGAGACAGAGAGACAGAGAGAGACAGAGTGTGAGGGGGTGGGGGACAGATAGAGAGGGAGACACAGAACCCGAATCAGGCTCCAGGCTCCAAGCTGTCAGCACAGAGCTTGACTCGGGGCTTGAACTCACCAATCATGAGATCATGACCTGAGCCAAAGTTGGAAGGCTAACCAACTGAGTCACCGAGGTGCCCCCCCCCCAAAGTGTTTTTCAAAGTGATTGTACCTTTTGTTGTTGTTATTTGGTCCATATCATTCAGCACCCAGGGCCTGATGACCTCTGGAATGTTCTTGCTCCAATTTATGATTATACTATTTTGAATCCCCATCAGCAAAGTATGAGAGTTTCAGTTGCTCTGCATCCTCACTAGCTCTTGGTATTGTATCTTGTTGTGGTTTTAATCTGCATTTTCTGAATAACTAGTGATTTTGAAGTTCATTTCATGCAATTATTTGTCATGTGTATCTCTTCTTTGATGAAGTATTGCTTCAAATCTTTTGTCCGATTTTTAAAAATTGGGATTTTTGTTATTGAGTATTGAGAGTTCTTTATAGATTGTGGTGACAAGTCCTTTATCAGATGCATGCTTTGCAAGTGTATTTCCCAGTCTGTAGTTTTTTTAAAAAAATGTTTATTTATTTATTTTGAGAGAGAGTGCATGAGTGGGGGGAGGTGCAGAGAGAGAGAGAGAGAGAGAGAGAGAGAATCCCAAGCAGGCTCTGTGCTATCAGCACAGAGCCTGATGAGGGGATCAATCCCATGAACCTTGAGATCGTGACCTGAGACGAAATCAAGAGTCAGATGCTTAACTGACTGAGCTACCCAGGCACTCCTGTGGTTTGGTTTTTTATTTTCTTAACAATATTTTTTGAAGAGCAGTTGTTGAGATTCCAGATGTCACCGGTCCCCCTCAGCAAGGTTTGCCTGGAATCTGAAGTTGGAAAGCTTCCCCCTGCCCATGGCTGGGCCAGCACACCTGGTATCTTTGCATATGTGTGTCCCTGTGTTGCAGTGGGGGCACAGCCTGGAGTTTCTCATGGGGGAGTTACTCCGCCATAGGACCTGAGAGAGGCCCAGAAAACAGGAGGGAGGCAGGAGGCTCTCCTAGTTCAACCCTAGCCCTTTTTAGCCCCCAGCTCATCCTGGACGTGGCCTTTTACCCATGTCCACCGGCTGAGCCTCTGTCCTATTTCTTTCTAGGTCCCAGGCCCCTGCCATTCACTGTAGAGGTCAGCATGAGCAAGATGAGTACCTGACAATGGCCAGGGGTGAGGTCATCACATCATCCAGTGTCTGGCAGTGAACCCAGCAAGGGTTGGAGTCTTCCTGGCCTACAGGTGCAGAAGTCACCCAGCCAGCAGGAGGTCAAGCTGTCTAAATCCCGGCACTCCCTCTGATCCCCAGAGGGTGCCTGCATGGGGAAGCAGCTGCCAGGTGCCTTGAACCCACGGCCTAGGGGTCAGTACAGAGTGGTAGCTGCTGAAAGTCCTGAGTGGAGAGAAGCAGGGATGGTCTATACGGGCAGTGGACCACAAGGAGGGTGGGGGTACTAGTGATATGGGGCTGCACAGCAAAGAGTCAAAAAAGAATTCTCGAGATGTTTTGGGTGCCAAACAGGTGTTTGTATTACAGTACGGGACGGACCGTGGGCAGAAAGAGCTGCACTTATCCTGTTGTTAGGGTAAGGTTATTTCATTGTCTAGTAGAACAGTCCTGAGACCCCTCAGATGTGTATCAGCGGTCATATGTTGAAAGAAGACTGTTAACATATATCCTGGGCAGGAGGAGGTGTGCAGTTATCAGAGGGAAGTTACACTGACCACAGTGATGAAGCTACAGCGGTAAAACATTAAAGGAAGTCCCTGCGGGAATAGAGGAGTGTTACAATCTGTAACCTTTGCTGCCTCAGGAGTCGCAGCAAAGTCTGGTCTTTGTTCTTTTTCTCCCATCGCTAGGAAGAGCCGCTGGGGAAACGGCTGGGAAAGGTCCCGGGAACAGGTGGTGGAATCCGGGTGGGGAGAAGGGCTCACGCTGGCAGGGGCCCGGCAACGATCTCCGGAGCCAAATCGGGTGGGCGAGTGCGAGGGTGGGTGGGAGCAGGCCTGCGGAAGGATTGCTCCGGGGTCCCGAGGGGCAGCCCGAGTGGGGGTGGGGGGGGTCGGGGAGCGGGTACCCGGGGACCACCGCTGGGCTGCTGGGGGGAGAAGGAGCTACTGACCGCCAGTGAAGTCGGCCACGGGGTGGGGGCGTCCCGAGGGCTGTTTGCGGAGGGGCGAGCTGTCCGGGGCTGTCGGGCCAGCTGCGGTGGGCGAGGGCTGGGCTGAGGGAGCCGGTACGGAGGGGTGAGGGTCGCAGACACGGGTGAGTCACAACTCTTATCCTTTCCCCGAGACCCCGGCGGCACCTCGGAAGATGCTCTTCTCTCGGGCGGCACTGGTGTCTCCTGTGGAGCGACCTCCGGAGCCCGCTCGCCGGCAGCTCCGCAGCAGGTGTCAGCGGCGCCACCTGGTGGTTCCTGCACGCCCGGCCTCCCGCCCCAGGCCCAGGCCTCGTTCTGCTCCCGGCTCCCGAAGGTCGCCGCCTGCCCGCGGCCTCCCCTGCTGCCCCAGCCAAGCACAGGCACGGAGACGTCCAGACCTCGTTGCTGTCGCTGTGCCTCCTTTGCTCCCTGCTGAAAGTACCTCCGCCTTCCAGTCTCAGGCTCCACATCTGTTAAATGGACTTACTGAAAACACCTACCTCTTGGAGTTGTAAGTCCTAAGTAACATATTCCGTGCAAAGTTGCTTAGTACTTGGTCCCGGTTTACAATCTTCACCCTCCCCTCAGGCCTTATGACTCTTATTATGTACTCGATGAGCAAAGTGAACCTCAGAGAGAGGTTAAGCTGCTGGAGGTTTCACAGTCAGGGAGTGGCCCCTGGAACTCCAAGTCAAGAGGGTCCAAAGCCCAAACCTTATCTCACATTATGGCAGAAGGCATGTCCTGGACATGGAAGTAAAGGGGCTAGTTCAGTTCTGTCCTCTTGGGCAATGCACCTCTTTCTCTCTCTGGTGTCGATTACCACGTGCACTGAATGAGCAAATAGTAGAGCATGAGCTCCCAGGCTGGGGTCTGAGAAGGGGTCTGTACCTGAAATCTCTGGGGCTGAGTGGTCTGGCACCACAACTGCGCTCACCCAGCTGGTCCCTTCAGCGCTGCTGGTTCTGGGACATGGGGCTGGACTGCTGGGAGCAGGCCAGCTGTGGAGACTTCCTGGCTCCTGAAGTTTTGGGTTTCACATACCATGGGGACCAGGCTGGCTGTGGCTGTCTGAGCTTGTAGAAGACAGGCTCCAGTTGGGGGAGCTCTCCCTGACTCCATAATGTGTAAGTGGCCTGGGCAGGCAGCCAGGTTCAGGCCCCGGGGTCCCTCAGAGCTCCCTCCCTTGTCCCATAAACATTCCCTTCCTAGAGAAGCGAGGCTTCCTGGGGAGACCCCAACACCTCCTCTGAGACCCTGCAAGTCCCATTGCCCCCACACCCCTGCCCCTGACATGGTCCTAAGGCAGCTGGGCCCAGATCTACTCCCTCCCTAACATCTCCCTGAGCGGCCTCCGGGACCTCTGTGGCACCCTCTCCTCTCCCTTGAGCCCCCAGCCCTGCAGGGACCACTGAGCTGATTAGGCCAATGCTGAGGTCTCCTCAGAGGAGGAAGATGATCACAGGCTGAGGAAGGCAGGCCCTATGACCCCTTAACCACCCCCTCACCCTACCTGCCCCACCCTCTCCCCAATGCTTCATAGAGGTAGTGGCTGGGTGGGGCTGGGTCCCCTGGCAAAGCCACACCAGAGCATACCTAGAATAGTAAACTGGGTTTCTGGAAGGTTCTGTGGTTGGACACAGGCTCTGGGCAGGCTCTTCCTGAACCAGGCAGAGGGGGTGGTTCCTGGCTTGGCAGGTAGCACTGCCTGGGATTTCCCACAAGCAGAACCAAGTAAAGGACCTAGTGCAGGTGTCTCCTCTCCCAGGCTAGTATCCATCCTGGTTGGGGGTGCGGCCTGAGCCTCGCTCCAGGATCATCCTGTCACTGCCACCCAGAATCTTTCACACTCCTGTAGAGCCTTGCAGCTTGTAGAGCTCTTCCGTGTTCTCACATGGCAAAGGTGTGATGAGGCCCTGGTGGCTGGGCCTGTTTACCGCAGGAGGCTGATTCCCGGATGGGAAGATGAGTGGGTAGGGGAGTGTGTGTTCAGTCCCTGTGTTGACCCGCCTCTACCTGCCCCCTGAGTACCCAGTGGGGAGTAGTGCTGGTGCCCTAGTAATAAGAGAGGAGCCAGAGGAAGCTACTGTGGGCAGATCTGAGGTGATCCTCCTGCCTCTGAATATCAATTCTGTGGAAGGAAGGCATCAAGCCCCCCCCCCCCCCCCCACCAGAACATCTCAGGGAGCCCGACATAGGCATGCTGGGGCAGGCTACAGGGGCTTTTCTTGGGTTGAAGCCCCAGAAGCCCTTGCTGCTGTCCTAGGACATGGCAAGATGGGAGTATAGACCCCCCAATCTCACCTTCCCAGTCCCCGGTGCCACTCAGCAAGGTCTACAGGGCCAGGAACCCCCCTGGTCCAGAGTGGAGGGTGAGCAGGGGAGAAGTCTCCTATGCTGAGGCCCCATCCCTGTCCAAGTCTAACCTGGCTCCTGCCTCCCAGGGGTTGAAACTGCCTCTAACCTCTTAACCCCTAAAGAAGAAAAGGTCCAGCCAAGGCCCCAGTCAGAAACCACTTTTTTTTTTTGACTTAGTTATCAACATCACCTGTGATGGCTGGGGACTTGAAAACAGGAAACAACCTGGGATGGAATTTTGTCACCTCGCATAGATACATGTGTGCCCACACGTACCCACACGTGCACACGTGCTGACCACATCCGTGGCGAGTGGGCCTTGACCAGCTTTATGTTAGAGACACTTATGCAGGCCGGAGAATAAGATAAGATGTGCAAAGATGATGGGCACCCAGGACACAGGTGCACAACAGAAGGGGATCCCAGAGGCCTGAGAAGAGAGGGAGCCCAAGCGTACTTGGGGTCCCTCTCATCGAACTCCTAAGTGCTCCTCCATGGCTCTGTGCCCCACAGGGTCAGGGAAATGGACAAGGTTGGGGCCAACTGGGAGAGGCCGTTCTCTCGCCTGAGCATAAAGTCCATTCTCAATGGAGATGAAACTGCTGCGTGCAGAGGCTGGCAGGGGCACCCAGGGGGCAGGAGGCCGAGGTTGGCATGCCGTGTGGGCGGGGAACACTGCCCATGGGGACAGTGGCCGGGGCTGAAGAACCGTGTCTAGAGTGGCGAGGCGGTAACGGTTGGTGTTGACAGTAGTGTACGGGATGTGGAGAGAGGCCAGGGAGGCTTGGCTGGCCACCTGCTGGGACGATGGGGAAGGAGGCCTGAGTTAGGCCCTACCTCATAGCCCCCCAGTACCAGCCCACTCTGTTCCCCACTCACAAGCAATCCCCCAGTCCTCACCCTTGCTCGCGTCTGTGTCTGGGGGCTGGTGAAGGGTGGCTGAAGCTTCATGACAGACCTGGGAAAGTGAGGAGGGTTAGAAGCAAAGTATGTGGCTAGCCCGCTGGTGTGGGAGTTTGGACTGGGCCCAGCAGGGGTTGGGTCTCACCAGTGCCTCTGCCGATGCAGCAGGTAGAGAAGGTAGACACAGCCAAAGATGAGGACCCCTGAGACCCCCAAGATCCCAGCCAGGTCAGCCCGCAGTATGGGGGATGGAGTAGGGGCAGGGAGCCCTGTGTATAGAGAGAGAGGTGTACCAGATGGGCAGCCAGTGCCCTGGGGTCCCTCCCTGCCCTCCCTGGCCCCTCTCATTGGCCCCACCTTGGTCTGTGCTGAGGAAGAGGTTCCCACAGGCCTCCTGGGAGCCTTCAGGAAAGGAAACAAATTTGCAGCAGAAGGTGGTGTTGGGATTGGGGCTTATCCCCTCAGACCCTTCTTCCAAGGTGAGGGAGATGCTGGTTTTTGTTTCCCAGTGGACCTGGCAGGCGGGGGGCCAATACTGGATGCCAAATTCTGGGTGCAAAACAGCCAGTCTAGTCCCTCCGGCACCGTCGGGCCCCCCAGAGCTCACAGTCACCAGGGAGACAGAACCAGATCCCAGGAATCCACAGCGGACAGTGAAGGACGGGGACTTGGTGGCCTCCATCTGAACTTGCACCCACACTTCAGGGGTCCCTGTGGGATACAGGCATAGGAGGGCCCCAGGGCTGGGTCTCCACCCTGCCCCATCTTCTGCTTCTCTCCAGTCCCCAACTCACCAGCAGTGATGCAGAGTGTCAGCAGCGCCAAGAGCAGGACCAGGGCGCGGGGCCTGTCCATGGCTCCCCTCCAGCCCCAGCTATGGGAGCTGCTGTGGTAGGGACAGCACCTGTGTTTCCGTTCTCATCACAGGAAGTTTTCATGTGTGAACGAGCCCGGGGAGCAGCTGGGCTCTGCAGCCCTGCCCCATTTCCTTCTCTGTCTGCCTCAGCTTCGTGAATGCAGGGCAATGCACCCTCTGCCTTGGGAGACTTAAAGCAACAGCAGTAAGGTTTTCCCTGTACCCATGGCTGTGCTTCACTCAAGCAGGACAGCAAGCCAAAAACCAGTTGGTCCCTTGGGCAAACTGTCATCCCACCACACTGAGAGAAGCAGGGCCTCCAGGCCAATCACTTCACCGCTCTCAGCCCAGTGAGCATCCTCTGGACCCTTTGACCTCCTCTCTGGCTCCACACCTGACTCAGACCTGCTCTCGCCACTTCCTCCGCTGCTGTTCCGCGACAGGGTAGGAGACCTGTGCACAGCTGACCGGTGTGGTAACCCAGCCCAGTGTGGGTGCAGAGCAGGGGGGCACATACCAGCCTCAGCCTCCCTAGCCTGGTAGCCCCTCTCGCACCGAGATCCTCCCCACTTTGCAAGGCCCTGCTCAAATCCCACCGCCTCCAGGAGGCTGCCCCCAAGGGAACATTTCCTTCTTGGACAACTGCTGCACAGAGGCTGGGCCTGGGTGGTGGCTGCCCCTGGGCCAGTGCTCACAGATGGACTCTGAGCCCTGGAAGAAGGTATAGCTTTTAGAGGGTCAAGCAGACGGGGAGCTTGATACTTGGTGATTGATGGGAGAAAAGCAATGGTACAACTACTCACCAACCTTCTCCATCTTTTTTTTAAGTCTCATAAGCCACATGGTCCCCTCGGTAAGTTCTCATTGTAGACAATTAAAACAACACTGAATAGAAAACATCAAAGTTGTCTTTCCCTATCCCACTTATTCCCATGTCCTTCCCCATTTTAATCTTCAGGAGGTTACGACTGTCAATATTTTATCATTTCTGGATTTTGTACATTGCTTAGGAAGATCAAATTATAAAAATAACATTGTAAATTTTGTTTTTATCCCTAACACTATGGAAGAGTTTCTTTTTTGCCCCTGAAGAATTTTAATTTGGGGATGGTGTAAAAAGTATAACCTTTTAGGTGGAGAGCCAACATCCTCAAGGTCTCTTGCTGTTTTGAAATGCCATCTTGATCATAAATTCTTACAGATGATCTACTTCTGGATTCTCTTTGCTAATCTGTTGATTCATTTGCTTATTCCTGTTTCAATACTGCACAGTCCTAATTATTAGAATGCTTTTGATGTGATGACCCTTGCCCTCAGAACTTTCTTGGTTACTCCTGAACAGTCTCCAGAATTTTCAGCTTCAGAGACACAAAAGGTCATTGAACTTACCAACCAAAAGCTCTGCAGCACCAAGCCTGCATTGTTGGGCCTCTTCCCTTTCTGGCCCAGAGGTACACATTAGATGACACAGGTAATGGCTACCTCCAGCTCTGACATTTAAAAAAATGTTTTTATGTTATTTTATTTTGAGAGAGAGAGAGAGAGAGAGAGAGAGAGAGCGCGTGCGCACAAGTGGGGGAGGGGCAGAGAGAGAGACGGAGACACAAAATCTGAAGTAGGCTCCAGGCTCCGAGCTGTCAGCACAGAGCCCAATGTGGGGCTCAAACCCACAAACCGGGAGTCATGATCTGAGTTGGAGTCAGATGCTTAACCAACTGAGCCACCTAGGCGCCCCCAGCTCTGACATTTCTTAGTGAAATCCCTGCAGCCACACACACTTCAAGTCCTGATGATCTCTTGTCATCAGTCTCTAGAATTAGGCCCATGAGGGTTGAACTGGTGCCACAATTTCATAGCTCTGCAAGCTCAAAGCAACCTCAACTCCCAAAGCAGTAACATCCCAACAGGGATCATACTCTGCTTCATGGCATGCAGCACTCTGCTCGTGCCTGGCTCAGGCCTTCAGCATATGTTGGCGACCATCCTTTTATGAGTTTATGAGTTCCCCACCTGAGTTTGTAGATTGAGACTCATACCTGATCCATTTATTTTATTTTACAAATATTTTAAATGTTGTGAAAAGGCCATTTTTGTTTCCCTATCAAAGTAATATAAATATGAAAGGTAATATCTGAGTGTACACTCTGTGCTAAATTTGTTCTGAACAAGTCAAACATTTTAGCTCCATACTTACAATGACCTTATGAGGAAGGAACTTGCCCAGGGTCACAAGGCTCTCACTGTGGGAGAGCAGCTTAGCATAGTTGTTAATATGTGGGTTCTGAAGCCAGGATTTGACAAAAATTTTAGCTTCAGAACCCACACTATTAACAACCATGCTGAGCTGCCTCTCCCACACACATTTAAAAATTTTTAATTACAAGGTTTTTGTCAAAATCCAGCAGTCCTCTGCCCCATCAGCGGAGAACCTGTGCTTAGTTCCTAGGCTGGGCTGCCCCCCACCCCCTGACATGAGCCGCTTCAGTGCCGACAGGAGAGGCTTTTTCAGCTGCTGCTACCCCACTCGATTCCTTTGCTGCTCTCACCTACTGAATTAACTTATATATATTTTCCTTCAAGTTTCACCCAGGATTCTAGGCTCCTTTGCCACCCAGATGGCTTCTCTAGTGTCCTGGGCTTAATCTGGCAGGTTGGCAACCCTTCTAGTTCTCTGTTCCTACCTGACACTCCCCCCTCTTCAGTGCTATTTCTCTGGCTATCCCAACTCAACACCCAGGGCTCTCAGGGAATCTGTGCTCAAGGGAGACTTTCCAGATCCTGTGATCCACCCAACCCCGGGGAAGGAACTACAGAGCTCAAGGAAGACTTCAAAATGTGTGTGAAAATAAACCTTCCACCATCCTGCCACCTTATCCTCTCATGCCTTCCAAGCACAGACTCTCTTTTTTCTTGTAACATCCCAGTGTGCCTGGAATTCAGAACACAGAATGACTTACCTATTAGCTGAAGACTCTTCTCAGTAACCTGGAAAAAAATCTCTTCACAATTTAGGAGAGAACACCAAACAATTCACCTTCTTGCAGAGCTTATGGCCACAACAAGAGTTAAAGAGGCTTGATTGAAGGTTACTTAAAATAATTCAAAAGCAATTATTCAATAGTAAGCTAACAGGCAATGCACAGTAGTGCCAGTCCCCTGGAAAGCACTGTTTGGTGTCACTTGTCAACCCAGGTAAGGTCAGCCTGTGCAGAGGCCTCCACCTCTCTTGCCCCAGCTGGCCTCAGCTCTGGTTCCGGCCTGGCCAGGGCCTGACCACTTGGCGCTGCTGCTCTGAAGCCCACAGCCCCACTTCTGTTGGCAAGGGGCTCACTGGCATGACATCCTTCAAAGCTGTGGTTTTTAAGGTGCCATGTTTGCACCTCAGCTGCTACACAAAATATCCATTGCTGTCATGCAGGACAAAAGATTAACATTTTTCATTTTTTTTAAGATAAAAATACAATGAAGTAATTTTTTAATTATTTTATTATAGTTTAGTTTGTGAGTGAGAGCAAGAGAGCACACGTGTGTGCATGCAAGCAGGGAGGGGCTGAGAGGGAGAGACAGAGAATCCCATGCAGTCTCCGCGATGTCAGAACAGAGCCCGATGCAGGACTTGATCTCATGAACTTCGAAATCATGACCTGAGCCAAAATCAAGTCAGATGCTTAACAGACTGAGCTACAGGCGCCCCAAAATACAATGAAGTATCCTCTCGCCAGGATCCAAATGTCACGGTTCATCTCTTAAGAAGATCATCATCCTAAGGTAAGAGTGGGAAACCCACAATTGTTGTTGGACTGTAGTTTACATGCTATACGATGCTGTGGTTTTGTGGTCCTGAACAATGTGTATCCCCTCTAAGAACACTGTTATTGTACTTGGAGAGCATCTTCTGACCTGTTTATAAGTCTTCCAAATGAAAACTTTCAGTGGGTGTTGGCTCATCTATTTAAAAAAGTAGTAAATGCAGTCAAAGCAGCACCTATTCCATTTGGATTCACAAGGTTTTGAGAAGTACCCCTTTCAATTATGTAGACCATAAAAGACAATTATCAAAATAAACTGATCTTTCAAGAAGAACCTCAGAAAACATTAAACCATTTAAAAATTTTTCTCGGGGCGCCTGGGTGGCTACATCAGTGTCAGTTGAGCATCCGACTCTTGATTTTGGCTCAGGTCATGATCCCAGGGTCGTGGGATCAAGCCCCGCATCGGGCTCTGTGCTAAGCATGTAGCCTGCTTAAGATTCTCCCTCCCTTTCTCTCTCTCTCTCTCTCTGTACCCCTCCCAGCTTACACTCTCTAAAAAAAAAATTACTTTGCTTTTTTAGAGCAAAAAGGTATTTTGTACTGCTAAATAAAAATTTATTTTGTTATTAACTCACCATACATTTCTAAAATTTTTTTAATGTTTATTTATTATATTAGAGAGACAGAGAGACAGAGCATGAGTCGGGGAGGGGCAAAGAGAGAGAGGGAGATACAGAATCTGAAGCAGGCTCCAGGCTCCGAGCTGTCAGTACAGAGCCCAACACGGGGCTCGAACCCACAAACCGGGAGATCATGACCTGAGCTGAAGTCAGACACTTAACCAACTGAGCCACCTAGGCACCCCATGCCATACATTTCTAAAGTGTGTAATAAAACAAGTGGTAAATGTTTACATAATTTTTTAACTGATAAATGTGCCCTAACTTTTGGAGTCTTAGGACCCTAAGGTTCTGTTTTAGTTACTAGTGCTATGTAACAAACCACCCCAACTTGGTGTAAACATTTTATCGTGTCCATGGATTCTATGGGGCAGGAATTTGGAAAAGGCTGAGAAAAGATGAGGCCTGGAGCCTCAGCTGGAAGATTCAAAAGATGGGTGTTACAATCATCTGATTCACATCTGAAGCACATCTGGTGGTTGATACTGGATGTAGGCTGGGACTTCAGCTAGGCAGGACGCCTAAAACATGGCCTTTCCATGTGGCTGCTTGGGGGCTGTCTCACAGCATGGTAATTGGGTTCCAAGAGCAAACATGTCAAGAAACAGGAGGTTGGGAGCTGCTAGTTAATTTTGGGTTCAGAAACTGGCACAGCATCATTTCCACTATATTCTATTAACCAAGCAATCACAGAGCTCATATTCCAGGAGAGAGGACCTAGACCCACCCTCTCAATAAAGAGTGTCAAAGAATTTGGGGAGCAGGATATAAAACTCACATGTATTCTGAGGTTGGGGCTCAACTGCCCATGCTGGGCTATCTGGATGTGTACAGATCTCTACATCTGCAGAACTGCCAAGTCTTTTGATCTTGTGAAGTAGCCTTAGCGTGGCTGGTATTTAAATAACTTGGGAATCTTTCCCCTCCTGGATTCTTAGTGACCTCCATGTCTTCACATTGGTTTTCCTACTCTGTTCCCAAATCCCATAGGAAAGGCTCCTCTCCCTGGAGCTGTTCCCCCTGAATACAGGTTAAACATCTCTGAATGGGTCAGCTGCCCTGCCCAGCACTGGCAGCTGCCTTTCCAAACAGAGACTCCTGAACCCAATTTCTAGCTTCTATCTGGGAGAGAGGGTGCTGGAGAAGGGAGGAGGAGGTGGACTTAGTCAAAGAAGAAAGTGACAAGAGTC